TTGAACTCAACTTGGCAGCCACCTAGCTTTTATGTTTTGGGGCATGGATCATCTGGGCAAGCTGGCTGATCCAGAGTTGGAACTTATAATGTATAATTCAAATTCTTCTGACTATACTGCTTGTAGCCCTAGAGATATGTTACTCGCTATGATTCATCTACCTTTAACATAGGTTCATTTCAAGAATTACTAAATCGCTCTTTTTCTTTAGTCACAAGCTGTTGAGAACTTCAGATTCTAGGATTTTAGAGCCAAGCCACTTCTTACCCTCACTTTGTCCTATAATATTGCTTACTTTTTCTTGCTTTTCTTTTTTCTTATTGGCCAACCATCACTAGAGAATCTCTCTGGCTATGTGTAGGATGAAATTACTATCTAAACAACAATAAACCACCATTAATAAGAGAAAGCAATATAAAAATTAGACAATTAATCAGGATTAGTTGCATTTGAACATGTTTCCAACTCCTTTAAGATTCTAATCAAATGAGAACCTGCATCAGTGCTGGATACTTATTCAATCTAACTCTCTCCAACCTCTCACATAGAAACAAAACATCCACTTATCCCTTTTCACGTCCACCATTATAAACAAAGGAACTTGGGGCTTTCCACCTGCCTGAACTCCATGGTAGTTGCTGGCCGAAGCCAGCAGTGACTACTATTACATTAATCTACATTTTCTAAGTTCATTAAAAACTGAAACGTTCGTGTCTCTACACTCCATAATGTCCTTCATGCTTCTCTGTCCTCATTATGTTCAACACCAGAAATCCCACCACAGGTAGCTACTGCATGACTGCTGGAAGAGATTATCAGTCTCAAAATTGCCCCAATCCTCTGTAGATGTCAAACCACCATCAGCAGGTTCTATCGTGTTTATTAGAATGGGCTCGCCCTCCAGTCCAAAATAGTTGCCCTTCATGGCACTATCATCATCTGACAGTACTCCTAATACATCTTCTGATCTTTCCATTGATATGCTAGGCTGCACATTAGATTCACACTTAGCAGTTTCTCCATTCTCTGATTCATTGTCGATGCTGTTGATGGCCACACATTCTCCAGAATGCTGGCTTTCTTCTTTTGGTCTCTGCAGCATATCTTTCATCTTCTGCATCTGCCAGAATTTAAACCATTAGTTAGCTTTGTCATAATAATGTTATAATGCCTTGCTATTTTCTTTCTGTCTGTATCTAGTTGATTAAGTTAGTAGTTTGAGTACCTGAATCAGTAAAGCCTGCTTTTCTTTCTTTAGAATTTCAAACTGTGATGTTAGGCTGTTGTAATTGGCTTGTAGTATGCTGTAATCTCGTTCGAGCTGCTTTGACTTCCATCTAGCTCTCTTATTCTGGAACCATATTGCAACCTGCCTTGGCTGCAATCCCAACTCTTTGGCCAGCTGCAACTTCTTCGGAGGCTCAAGCCTGGATTCATTTTCAAACATCAATTCCAGTGATCTGATTTGTTCATCGCTGAACCTCCTCTTGTTCTTATTCTTCTTCGTCTTTGTTGTCGTGATTTCATTTATGCTGCTAAAAGACTCTGCAAAGACCTGAGAATATTCCTCTGCATCCAGCATTTTCGCTTGGATCACTAACCTACTGGGCTAGTCCTTGAAATAAACCAAGAAGAGAAAGTAGGATGGAGAGAGAAAATGCTTTTGAAAGGTGTGCTTGGTGACAGGCTTGTATTTCCTACCCAAAGAAGTGTGTATACTCTGTTTTTGGACCTGACTTTTTTTTTTGAAAATAGGTAATGGTTTTTGGACCTGACTGGTTCTCTGATCTCTGCTTTATATCCGAAGGCCATGGGGATAGGGGTCTAATACCGTGTGGTCGTTTTCCTCCAGTGCCTTGGGAACATTGCTCATTTTTCTTTTCAGAAATCATTTATTTTATTTCTAAAATTTTTTCTTCCTTTTTTATTTGATGTTATTTCCGGAGCTGAGATTAGCCATAAGAGAAGCTTGGCCAGGTGCCTGAGTTAGGTCCAAGCCATCCTGTTTCTCAACATTAACGGCTGGTTTATCGTCTTGTGCGCTTCTATGATACCGTAAGCCGCATTTCTCTTACTTGTGTCCTTGACATTCTGATATTTAAAATTTCTGCTCTCATCGTCATATTGTCATAAACTTAATCAAACCACTCGTCTTCAATCCTAGTGTCGGCTGCATGAATCACGTTCCACCACTTAATATTTTTATGTTAATTTTATATGGAGATGATTATCCTTCTTAGCAAAAATTACTCGAAACATTTCTCTCCTCGATTCTTGGAGATATCCGTTGTCCTCATTTTTTGATTGTAGGCAGGGATCCTTATTCTTAATGGTACATAAAACTAGCCCCCCAACACTACCCAAACAAACTTCTTCCTGATCAGTTATAGGAGCATGCAGTTTTTTTATTGCATTAAGTGCTTCTACATTCATGTTATATATCAACTATTGAGGCATCAAGACATGAAGTGGTTGTTCCGGGACCAGTCATTAGATTTTAAGACATGAAGTCCCATAATTTTTTTTTTTTTTGCCAAAATGTCCTATATGTATGTTTTAAAATAGCAAATTCTTAACGATTACCTAAGTGGTTTAGCAGTAAAGTTGGCTTTTGTGATAAAACAAGTGATGCTTGTAAATCCCTCCCTGCTGCCTCCTTTTAGAAAAGGAAAGAGCAAATTCTTTTGCTTAAGCTCTTTTTACTTTATCATCTATTCAATCTTTTCACATACTTTTTATTGATTATAAAATTTTACTATAAAATTTAATAACTTTTCACTACACTTTTTAATTTTTATATAATGTTTTTTACAATTATTTTTTAATAAAATTAACCTTTAAACAAAGTAAACTCTTAGAGTAGAATCAATTTAATAATTTTATATTATTTAATTTATCTGAATTGTGTTATATTAAGTAAGACGACAAGGATGTACTAACAATTTCAGGTGAGTTGATAATATACAACAAAAATTTTAATCTATGTTAACATTCAAACCCCTATATAATTTTTTTCTATTCTCTGCAAAATTTCCTTGTTAAAAAAAAGGGAAAAGCAGGACGACCAGGCTAAGCCAACGGCAAAATCGGCTTGAGTCATTGTAGTGGTTGGGTTGAGTGCGCAGTCGCTTTCGGGTCGTTTCAACTTTCTCAACCTTTGTTTTTGGAGGATAATTCCTTTTATAGTTTTATTTGAATAGCAATAATAAATATTTTAAATTTGAACGAAATAATATCCTTACTCCTTAGCCAATAAAAATAAATTGCTTAAAGAAAAGAACCTCTCGTCTGTCACATGTCACACGTTACCCAATCACCTCCTGCCACCTGACACTGGTCAAAATTTAGTATCCCTATATCTTTTTTAATCCTTGAAATTTTGGTAATTGAGGTATGACGTGCCAGAAATCCTGTGGTTCTGCGTAGAGAAATTGTTTAATATATATTAATTTTATGAAAAAGATTGTTTTATTTAGGACACACGTGTCCTGTCTATGGTAACTATCCTATCCTGTTGAGAGTCCGTGTGGGGACAAGCATTGTTGTGTAGATGTCTGTCTCCATCTGCCGTCTGGTGAGGCTGCCTCGTAGCCACGTGTTATTAAGGCCCATTTTATGTTAAACTCGACTAGAAATAGATTTCTCCCTGGTTTTTTAAATCAACACTTTATTTCTA